GGTAAAAGGGGAGGGGGGGGGGGGGGGATTTATCAACTGGAGCAGACAGAATCTTGAGCAGTCGCCCGTGGCAACCAATCAACTTCCATCTTTTATTTTTAAAGCTAAACTGAAGATAGAAGCTGATTGGTTGCCTTGGGTGACTGCTCCAGATTCTGTCTCCTTCAATACTGATCAATTCCTCTCTCAGTGCTTAGACCTAATGAAAGCATTTCAGTCTCATTCAAGATTTATGACTGAATCGTATTCTGTGTGACCCCATCCAAAGCAAACATGCAAATAGTACCCTGTTTCCCTGAAAATAAGACCTACCCTGAAAATAAGACCTAGTACTATTTTTGGGAATTGCTAACATATAAGACCTACCCCGAGAATAAGACCTAGTTGTGACCATTCCCAGGGTGGCATAAGGGGAACTTGAAGAGCCGCAGGAGAGAATCAGTGGTGCCAAAGAAGCCAGCGCTAGAGGAAGCGAGGCGGCAGCGGAGGGAGCAGAGCCACATAAGCCGATGCTTCCACTATAGCGCCGCTCCTGTCACAGGCGGAGTGATACCAAATGCACTCCGTGAGTTTCGCTCACTCTGGCCAGCGATTGGTTACCAAATTGCTCTTGGAAAGGTACGGCACCCCTGATCACCCTATTCTTAACTTTGCCATTTTGGATTATTTAATTTGGATTTGTGTTAACGTTGGATTGTTGTACATTAAAAAAAAAAATAAGACCTACCCCGAAAATAAGACCTAGTGTGTTTTTGTGAGCCAAAAAAAATATAAGACAGTGTCTTATTTTTGGGGAAACACGGTATGCAGAGATTGTAACGTACACTTTCTAGACAAAGGGAAAATAGGGGAACTTATTATTTTACAGGATTTATATAGCGCCAACAGTTTGCGCAGCACTTTACACTATAAGGAAGACATTACAATGACAATACAAGATGAGATGGTCAGGAGGGCACTGCCCCTGAGAGCTTACAATCTAAAAGACAGTAAGCTCTCACTTAAAAGAGAATTATGGGGTGAGTGAAATACACTCATCCCCATAGTTACAGCTGATGTGTGACACTGATGCTGTCACACGTCGGCTCTATAGATCGAGAACTGAGCGATCACATACCACGGATCACTCAGTTCCTGATCTTCTCCATGAAGAGAGCGGTCACTGGCAGTCACCGCTCCCCACAGGGATTCCCCCCATCTCTCTTCATTCCTCAAGCACTGATTGGCGGGACAGACAGGGGAGGGCACAGTTGGCTCTGCCTCTAGAGAGGAGGAGACAGCTGTCAATCAGGCAGCGGGGTGGATCCCGACAATACTGTCGGGATCCGTCCCGGCTGCAGTGTGGCTCTGCGCTGTCAGCATATAGCAGCAATAGCTGACTATATGCTGAGTTTTGGGGCACAGGGAGAAACAGTATATGTCCTCCCGTGACCCTAAAGAGAAGTATGGCCAAAAAAAAAGGTTGGGTCATAGTTCTCTTTTAATGGTCATTCCCCTGTGGACCTCTTCTCCTTTAATAGCTATGTGACCATCATGTGATCTTATCCCCCCCCAAGTTTCTGTTTTTGGCACACATTTAAAGAATTGCTCTCTTCCTCCATTATCATTGTACAGGAGTTATATAGCGCCAACAGTTTGCACAGCGCTTTACGTCATATGGAAGACATAATTACAATTCAATTCAAGACAGGATGGTAAGGAGGGCCCTGCCCCTGAGGGCTTACAATCTAAAAAGGGAGGGGATAGAGCTTTCCATTGGCCTGAAGCTTGATATAGATGCAAATTGCATTAAAAACATCCTTTTCCATGGCCAAAAAAAGCTTCAAAGAAGAACACCAACCAATTTTACTAACTCCTGCAGTGGGGCTACTCAGGCACTGCAAAGGTTAATTGCTTGTTTTTGTCTAGGGAGGAGAATAACAGTTATTTTCACCCAATCCTAGGAGCCGGCTTGCTCTTAGACCGGTCACTGGAGCCTCTCTAACGCTCCACTGCAGCAGGTCCCTCAGCCAACACATTCTATACACAGTGTACAGGACGGGAGGACTCCGAGGGACATACCATCGCGGCAGTGGAGGGAGCGTCGTGACAGCTGCCCAGCTTGGAAGATCGTGTGAGTACAACTTGGTTATTTTCTTGCCCAGACTAAAACCAGCAGTTAACCCTCGCAGTGCCGGCCTAGCCCCAGCGCAAAGGGTAATTTAAAAAAGCTACCGGGAGGTCTCCTTTAAATCACCAGAAATGCACCTGCTGAGGTGTGAATGCAGCAGACCGCAAGCTACTCTGAACAGTTTGCCCCTGAGACGGGGGGGGTACTGAGGATATATATATATCTATCTATCTATATATATATATATATATCTATATCTATATATATATATATGTGGATGGGAACTCAACCATATTCTCAAAATGTGACTACAGCAGTGGAAACAGTCTTTTAGAGGGGAATTCCCCCCGGACTTTGGGAGATTTACTCTAACTTCCTGTTGTGTCCACTGGACAGGAAGTGAAGGGAAATCTCCCCAATGCTATAACAAAAAGTGTAAACAATGAAATTTAACAGAGGGTTTAACACTATTATATGCAACACTTGAATAATAATACGTTTGGCTGTACATACGCTTTAATGCATGTGGTTGCATTGCAATATTTTCCATATACTGCCCCCCCTCCAATTGTGCAGCTGGTTGGTTGATGATGTGTGGTGACATTAGATGAAAGGATCTTCCAATCAGAATGGGAGGTTGTATGATTGGGGGTTGCATGGTCAAGCCTTGGCTTGGTGGAGGTGCAGGGTGGGGTAGCCCCAGTCTATGGGAAGTAATAGAAGTGGGGGTAGAGGGGCAGCTGATTTATTGCCCCTCCCTAGGCCCCGGCCTGCTTGCTCAATAAAGAGCCGCCCATAGCAGAGCTGGCCCCCTGTGGATGTGAAGTCATGCATTGGGCAGTATTAATACCATATCTGCTCAATGCGGCCTAGTAGCCCCAGGCCTGGTCCCAGCACAGGCTCCACAAACCAGCAGCTGCCCCCCACTACAGGCCTCAGCTCTCTCCCTTCGCGCTCCAAGCCCGCGTTCCCTTCCCTCACTCACCCTCCCTCCCGGGGTGTCTCGGTCCATATCTCCCGGTAAGCTTCCTTCCTGTCCTCGGCCTCCTCCTCCTCCGCCGCTCACGTCACTAGACCGAGCGCCCCCCTCCGTGCGCGCTCCCGGCGCCGCGCAGCTACGTGGCCGCTGCCCGCTCCGTGCAGGGGACGCGCGCCTGCCTCGGCTCAGCACCCGACGGGCGTTCCACGCATGCGCGCTCGGCAGGAGGCAGGGAAACCCGAGCCGACCAGGAACGTTGAAAGAGCTTCCAAAGCGCATGCGTGCAGGAAAAGGCGCGTGGCCGCGTACGAGCGGCATCAGCTCTTTCGGACACTGCGCTTGCGCGAACTTTTTATCGCCTGGCATGTCATAGGCGCCAGCGGCCGCCTGGTCAAATGTGTTTCTGAAAAAGGGTTATCGGTTGCTGCTGGCCTGTCCGTTACTCTTTAATTCGTCTGATTTTTATCTTTTTTGTGAACTACATGTCTGCGTTATTTTTGGGCTACAACAAAATGGCGGATGCAGAATTTGAAAGACCCAAAGGAAGAAAGGCTGACATTTGTAGGCGGGGCTTCACTGGTGACACAGCAGTACCCTTATGACCTCCATTGTAAAGACCAGTCATTTAAAGGGGCGACGTCTGTTCGTGTTATTATCTCTCCTATAGGTTGCTAAATGGATGACTAGTGATTCCAACTTGATTTTCTTTGGATTCCAGGCAGAAATATACACTATATTGCCAAAAGTATTGGGACGCCTGCCGTTACACGCACATGAACTGTAATGATATCCCAGTCTTAGTCCATAGGGTTCAATATTGAGTTGGCCCGTCCTTTGCCGCTATAACAGCTTCAACTCTTGATCTGGAATGGAATGCGTCCACAAGGTTTAGGAGTGTGTCTATGGGAATGTTTGACCATTCTTCCAGAAGCACATTTGTGAGGTCAGGTGCTGATGTTGGACGAGATGGCTGGGCTCGCAGTCTGCGCTCTAATTCATCTCAAAGGTGTTCTATCGGGTTGAGGTCCGGACTCTGTGCAGGCCAGTCAAGTTCCTACACTCCAAACTCGCTCATCCATGTCTTTATGGACCTTGCTTTGTGCACTGGTGCGCAGTCATGTTGGAACAGGTAGGGGCCATCCCCAAACTGTTTCCACAAAGTTGGGAGCATGAAATTGTCCAAAATGTCTTGGTATGCTGATGCCTTAAGAGTTCCCTTCACTGGAACTAAGGGGCCAACCCCACAATCCCCCCCACCACCTAACTTTTCACTTGGCACAATGCAGTCAGACAAGTACTGTTTTCCTGGCAACCACCAAACCCAGACACGCCCATCGGATTGCCAGACAGAGAAGCGTGATTTGTCACTCCAGAGAACACGTCTCTACTTCTCTAGAGTCCAGTGGCGGCGTGCTATACACCACTGCATCCGACGCTTTGCATTGCACTTGGTGATGTAAGGCTTGGATGCAGCTGCTCAGCCATGGAAACCCATTCCATGAAGCTCTCTACACACTGTTGTTGTGCCAATCTGAAGGCTGCACGAAGTTTGGAGGTCTGTAGCTATTGCCTCTGCAGACAGTTGGCGACTTCTGCGCACTGTACGCTTCAGCAACGCCTTTCCCAACGTCTTTATAGGAAGACAGTAATAAGACAAATGTATGCTTTTAGTAAAGCCAGGATTACCAGACATTTTAAGCACACTACCTTTCATTTGCCATCACAGGTCCAGGCTAGTGTAAACATTGCTTTATTTACATTCCACCTGTCTGTAGTCTGCACTTTACTGTGTGCAAAGTATGGCTGAACACAAGAAATGCATCCCATTACCACACTACCTGATAATGTGTATTTAGCGCAGCTTTTTTCACAGTTCTTACCCTGGAACAACCCATGACATCATTTTCAGGTCTTAGGGAACCCCTGCTTAAATTATATCTCCAACTCACACTCCATTAGTTCAGTCATTTGTATATTGTTGGTCAGTGCTCAAATGTTTCTTTACATTGGTGGTCAATGGAGAAGTGTGCAGTTACTTGTGGTCAGTGGGAGAAGAACCACGTTAGATTGGTGGTTAGTGGAAAATGGGGCGCTTGACAGACAGTTAAAACATAACTAGTATCAGTTGCTTATCTGAAAAGAAAAAACAATCTACTGGTCCTAAGCCAATGTCTCAACCAAGTGAGGTTGGTGCAGTAACTATGCAGGCACCAATGAGGCAGGATATCAGTCTACCAATGCTCATTGCTCAAGGAAACCATAACCCCCTCTGGAGGAACCCTGGTTGAGAAAGGCTGAAAAGAAAGTATCTTCTGCTCCCATGCCTATGTCACAGCCAAGTGAGGTTGGTGCAGTAACTATGCAGGTACCACCAGGCAGGAGATCAGTCTACCACTGCTCATTACCCTAGCCACCTCTGGAGGAACCCTGGTTGAGAAAAGCTGTGTGGAAGAGAAAAGGATCTACTGATCCCACGCCCATGTCTCAGCTAAGGGAGATTGGTGCTGTAACTATGCAGGTACCACCAGGCAAGAGATCAGTCTACCACTGCTCATTACCCTAGCCACCTGTGGAGGAACCCTAGTTGAGGAAGGCTGGAAGGAAAGGCTCTTCTAGTTCCATGCTTATGTTACATCCCATTGAAGTTGGTGCTGTAACTATGCAGGTACCACCAGGCAAGAGATCAGTCTACCACTGCTCATTACCCTAGCCACCTGTGGAGGAACCCTAGTTGAGGAAGGCTGGAAGGAAAGGCTCTTCTAGTTCCATGCTTATGTTACATCCCATTGAAGTTGGTGCTGTAACTATGCAGGTACCACCAGGCAAGAGATCAGTCTACCACTGCTCATGGAAACCCTAGCCACCTCTGAAGGAACCCTGGTTGAGAAAAGCTGGTTGGAAGAGAAAAGGATCTACTCATCCCACGCCAATGTCTCAGCTAAGGGAGATTGGTGCGGTAACTATGTAGGCACCAGCAGGCAGAAGATCAGTCTACCACAGCACTGTACTACGCATTGCTCAAGGAACACCAAGCCTTCGAAGGAACCATGGTTGAGAAAAGCTGACTTACAGAAAGGTTGACAACCAGTTATAAATGAAAACGTTCTAAATAAATGCAGACCCCTTTTCTAAAAGTTACCCTTTTCTTCCACATATTCCTTTCCCTCCGTTGTTCATGTGCAGGAATAGCTGTGAAATGTTTTTATAAGATTCTCGCACTAATCTTCCACTGCTTGGATGATACCACTGCCTTTGCGTGCATTATAAGAAGCAACGGTGCTATCAGCCTTCTATACAAGATCAGACACGATCGGCATCAGATCAACCGGATGACGGCACATTGCATCGCCCAGCGCAGGTGTACTCTAGCGCAGGAAGTCTCTGGAACTGTGCTGATGTGAACAGCACTGGACCCTGTGAATGTAACCATTTTTTTTTTTAAAGTACGAATCTTGCATTAAGATATGACAAATAATCATTTGTGTGTTTATCTTGCTAGGGGTTTGCTAATGTCTTGAAGCACAACGATAGCCCCCCCCAAAAAAAAAAATCAGGCTAAGCAGCCATGTAAAATAAATCTAGGTGATTATTTTTGGCTAACTGCAACTTTTTCATTTATGTAATAAATACCTAGTGATCCTGCCTGTCAGAGTACCTTCCCCTCATAGGGTGACGACACTAAATTCCCTGCAGTCAGCTCATTGACATGTCACCCTTTGTGACATCACTGCGTCTAAAATAAGGTATGCAATAAAAAAATGGTATTGTTTTTTTTTTAAATTGACGATGGCGGAGAGGTATGATCCAGGGAAGTTTTCCTTTTGTAGATAGGCAACTACTATAAATGAAAGTGCAATGGGGCTGCATAGTAAAGGTCACAGTTGCCCCATGGTTAAAGTAAATCTGGCTATACACACTTTTTTTTATTTGTTCAACCCACAAACTGAACAAAAAAACATAGAACAGATTCCTCCATTAATGCTTACAAGCGTTGATCAAGGAATCGCTGCCGTTCCCTTTGTATTCCGACAGTAGCCAGCAGCCACTGTTAAAACGGTTGCCGGCTCTGTTCCTTCGAAGATTTTCTGACATTATGTATGGCCGGCTTAAACGTATGCCGTTTGAAAAAAGGCAGCACAGTGCCGCCCCAGATGATGGGGGTCAGTTAAAGGATAACTGCACTAAAGCAGGAGATGCACTAAAGGGAGGAGATGATGGGGGTCAGTTGAAGTATAACTGCACTAAAGCAGCACTTATCCTTGAAATAAAGTGGAAAACTGTATAATATATTACAGCTTATCAGACCTTAGATGGGTGGCTGAATTAGTTTTGTTTTTTCAACATTTCTATTTCCTTTAGTGATGGTTAACGCTTCCCGTCCTAGGGTGTCAACACCCCCTCACTATCTATGGAGGAGTAGTGCTGTCACCCTAGAACAGTGGTTCTCAACCTGTGTAACCTCAGGACCCACATTTGTCCTTGGTTTTAAGTCATGACCCAAGTCACACTACAATGGAATGCGCGGCATTGCGGTACTGTGCGTTCCGGTGCGGGTGCTCGAACTGTGGGTGGGAGGTGCGTTTGTGGTGCCATTCAAAGAAATGGCAATGCAACACACCTCCCGTACCAGAATGCACGGTAGGTGTGTTTGCGTGGTACAGTGCGTTATCGCACGGGACTGTGCAATTAACGCACTGTACTAGTGTGAACACTGACATGTGAACACTGACAATCTCACACAGCATGTGACATCACTCCGGTCCAGGCACCTCTGCAGGACACGTGAGGGAGCTGTAAGCAATGCACGTATGGATGGAGCTCCCTCACGGCCATACCCCCAGCCCACCTCAAGCTGACACTCAGCACTGGGCAGCACATTTTGAATGGCTGCTTGGTATGAGAACTGACAGTGCTGTGCTAGGGGATGGCTGAGTTGCCTCTCACCTTGAAAAGTGGAAGGCATGCCGTGACCCACTGAATACAAGGTCACGACCCGCCAGTTGAGAACCAAGGCCCTAGAACATCTCTTCATCTCTATTTCCACAGCAGAAGGGTGAGGTGTTCTTTAGTTGACAGAGAGCTCAAACAACACAACTGATAAGAGTCAGATCTTAATCTTTTAACCTTATGTGTAAATGGTCAACATTGTCACATAAAAAGAAAAGGAAGAGAAGCTATGACACCAATTATAGAGAGATTTTTTTTTTAATGAAAAGCCTGAATGCAAATCATAATGTGGACAGACAGTCCCCCTCCAAAAAGCCCCAAACGGGAGGAATGACATTGACTTAGCAGACAGATTGTTGTATGAAGAGGCACAGATTGGGTAATCTGATGAAGGCGTTCAGTACATGTGAATAGAGAAGCACTGCTATCATAACAGAAAAATGGGCACTACCCTTACTGACCTCAGTTCTGCAAATTCTGGCTGTCATGTCCTTGACCAAGAATACAGGTAAGTACTGACTTTACTCTGAATTACTCATTCTGCACACTTGTTGCAGGTCAGCTACCCAAAGCATTAAAAGGAAACTGAAAGAAATAAGGAGGCTGCCACTGTTAAGCGTTAGAAAATGACAGCAGCATGGCCGTCTTAATAACTAACCTGGGACAAACACCCAGATTAGAAAGAGTGAAGACAGAACTCATGATCTGCATTCCTGTTCCAAGCCAAGGACTCAATGCATGGATGCCACTGCATCAGCATTCTAGCCAGGATGCTTTTTTAGCAGGAAATCAGTAATGGCAGTCATCTTATTTCTCTCATAAAGGTAACTAAGTTGTAAATGACATAGGTACATGAGTTATTTAAGTGCTTAAAGTCTGTACATCACAGGACTGTAAAAGTTTGAGATTGTAGACAGAATGCACAATACGTTTCACTATCAGGGCTGTCTGTTTCCATAGAGAATTTAGAACACTGTAGGTCATTATTAGGAGACTTTACTTTCATACATGGATCAAGTCTATACCGTGGACGTGCACTGGTATGCAGTAATCCATAATAACCAATTAAATATCAAGTGTGGTCTTTTCCATCACCTCTCCGCAAAGCTAGTGTCTGATTGGTTATAACAGGTTACTACAAACTGCTGAGACTTACGCTGCAGTATTATTAAAGAAGCAGAACATTTTCTTCCCTGATCTGGTCAAATGGAGCTAGGAATATTGACATGGTCAAAGCCCTTATTGGGGACACATGGACAAATACAAATATGGGGGGGTGGGTTATACCCTGCAAGGTTACTGTGGCAGTTGCAGTAGTGTGGACTGTCCTGAGGGTAGGTATGTGACGTTACGAGAGCGGGACAATTGGTAGGCGATATCTTCGGCCGCTTCCAGCTTACGCAGTTCGATTAATCCGTCGCCAACGTCGGACAGTGATGTTGCGATAAGTTCTGCAGCCTTAGAATCTCCTTCAGCAGATATGATGGCTGCCTTTTTCTGTTGTTCAGCCTGGACAGAAGAAAGAATATAGTTCAGGAGGAGCAAACCCTTGGCAAATAATAAAGATCACAATAGAGTCTTATGACTTAATTTGAAAGGAGAACGCATTTCTGGGACAAGTGACCAAAACACTGTAAAATACAATTGCTTTTAAAATCGAAAAAAAGAGATTGAGGACACACAGTCCTCAATCTCTTTTTCTGCAGCCCTTGTTATCAATGAACAGGAATCCTCTATACCGAGTGTTCCTGTTCATTCATAACGCGAGGACAGAGTATGTTTACCATATCCACAATCATGAATGAACAGGAAGTGAGGTAGATCACTTCCCACACATTCATAATTGAGGATATAGTAAACATACCATGTCCTCAATTATCTACAAACACTCAGAGATCACTCAGTGTTTGTACTCTCTCTGCCCCCACACCACTCTGTGACATGACAAGAGGGTGAGCAATGCGGGGGGGGGGAAGACGACGGCCGCTCACAGCACTCTCCTCCTTTAACAGTTTCCCTCCGCCCTGCTGGGACGCAGAGCAGCACATGAATACACAGATGCACCGCTATATCTGCAGAAAAATTGCACTTTTGGCATTTTGCCAAAAGGAGATGTTGTGGGCATCCATGCAGGACAAAGCCACAGGTTTACTTTAAAAGGTCTTCCCTCACAGCACATATTCAGCTATGCTTTGATTCCCCTCTAAAACCAATACTTTCAGGTATGGAGGTGTGTGTGAGTTACCTATATGACAGCACTGGGCTAATCATCACATAGCTTATGTGAGCAATGGTGTCTCATAATTTACACAGCACTTGGCTTTTACTCTTGGCAGCTAAAACACAGGGGAATGAAAGGAAGGCAGGTATACAAGTCTGTGGAGGTCTGCAAGGGCAAAGCACAGATTCACTTTAAACAACAAAGAAGACTTGATGTTCACCTCCTTGGTTCTACCAAAATCTAGAGACCCAGACTCCATATAGATCCATTCACTTTACCTTCTCCACGATAAACCTGGCTCTTTCTGCTTCCTGCTGGGATACTTGTTTAGCTTCCACGGCTTGTGTGAACTCCTTACCGAATGTCAAGTGTGTCTACATGAAGAAGGGAAAGACACAACTGTTACCACAATTAGACCCTTGTCACTTGAGCAGGAAAATAAAAACAAAAATCTAAGAAAACCCACTTCCTATCAAAGAGGTGTATACGGTAAAGAAGCATCATAGTGTATACTGTGTACTTCCCTGTACATTATACAGACCAAACACTCTCTAGCTTGTCTTCCAAGCAAAGTGACTACTGAAAAGCACATAACATATGCAAGCCTTAAAGTGTACGTAAACCCGAACAATTAAAATTCCTTAACTTGGTCCTTTCTGGTCTGTTAAATATCCCTCTTTCCAGGGCCAGATTAAGATAGGGGCTACTGGAGCACTAGCTCCAGGCCCACCACTGAAAATAGGCCCGGCCAGCTCGGATCTGGGCTGAACACCCTGGCGGCTCTCTAATCAGGTATATTAGGAGTGAGTGGCCACCTTATTAGAGAGCTGCCTCTGCTGCCCAACAGTACCAGGCACATGATGCTCTTAATCCGGCCCTGCCTCTTTCCATTATGCAGGAGAACAAAAAGGGATTTCCAGTTTTTCAGTGAATACCATGTAGGTTATCTATATGAAAAAATAAATTATAAATAAAATAAGATAGAAT